GGAAGTTAGCGATAATGTAGATCTGCGGCTTTCGAGAGTTTTGAGATCTATTAACATAATACTGGATGTGTACGATGGAATAGGAGCTGCAAAGATCAGCTACCGAAGAGAGAATTTCAGAAATACCTTTTGGATACGCTCTATTCTTGCTATCGGGAGTCGATCCAAGAGTCTATGGAGATCATTTTGAAAAAGATTACTCGGAATTAAGCCAAGACTTAAGAGATTATCTATTAAACAAGATTCAACCGCTGTGGTCACATTCGTTGGAATAAGACCAAGTTTAGAAAAATTATTAGACCAGTTGATGTTGGGTAAACTATAGTCCCCTAAAGTCAACTAAAGTCAAAGATGATCATTCGCTAACTGCTTATTAACTAAAGAATCAACATTATCCGTATGAGCTTTATAAATGTCAAAATTACTGTAGGGCGGGATGTACAATGCCAGTACTTACAAAGATGTAAGTCCAAGGGTTATACAAACACAGAGTCTGTCCAGCATTGGGCCCTCAGCGAAATGTGGTAGGCATCATATGAAAGTCTAAAATATGGTGTTGTTCCTGATCACTGGAAAACATCTATTGTTGTGCCAATTGAGAAAGTCAAGAACACAATCAGAGCCGACGAGATGAGACCAATTAATACGTTGCCAAGTGATGAAAAAAGTCATGAAACGGTAGTTAAAAAGCAACTAATAGAATATTTAGAAACTAAAAAAATATTAATGCCACAACACTCTGGGCTCGAATCGTGACAGTCTTGAACGCGCAACTCGTCACGTAAAAATGACAAAATCGGATTGTGACAGACGTGAACGATTTTCTCATATCGTAATTCGGTATTATGACAGACGTGAACGAGCGAGTGAACGTACTCGTTCGTTCGAACTGTCATTCGATTAATATTTGACGAACGTACGCGCGCAAAATTTGATACAATTTTTTGAAAAATGTAAGTAATTATACAATTTATGCAAACATATACAAGTTCATAGCTATTTTTCTTATTTTAGGACCAACTACAATAAATTAAGCTCTACGCAGAAGGAACCCATGGCGGAGTTCATGGCCGAACACCCTGACTTGGCAAAGAATTTACTCCCAAACTGCTCGCAGGGAAAAGCAACGGCCAACCGTTTGTGGGAAAACCTCACCAAACAATTACATGTGGTGGACCTTTTCAGGAGTCATGGGCTGCACCTCTATATTGACAATTTATGGCAAGAATCTTGCAAGTGTGGTCACAAATCTGGCAAACGGAATATTAGCAATAAAATGTTAAAATGAAAGAAGAGAAACTTACTAGCATAACGTTAAGACTATGGTAACCTTTCCTGTTGAAGTACATGTGCTCGTCTCTAATTGGCTTTTGTAATCCAATGTGTGTTCCGTCTACGCATCCAACCACTAAAAGGAAAAACATTGGATTCACTACGCATTTCATTAGAACTCCTCTTGCTACCTCCAGGTATTTTATATTTTTCCGCAAACCGCTCTTTACATCTTGAAGATTCGTTGGGCTGGAACTTTATAAATTCCGGACACAATTTGCGTTCTATTTCTTTTAAGACGTTGGACGTCAATTTAGATACCGTGCTCTGGCACATACCTATCAGGTGATCGCTACCAACTGTTTGCTGATAGCTACCACTTGCAAGGAGCGAGAGGCTTGCAGCCAATTGCAAAGCAGCAGGAACGGCTTTTGTGTCATCGCAGTTTATGTTTGTTTTCGATAAAACATACTGGAATACCTCCTTGCTTAACCGAAATCTTTTGGTGAATCTGCAAGTATAGGAGTAGAGAAGGTAATTTATTTCCTATGTATACAGTATATTTTGCTTTGCTGCCTCTATGCTTAAGTGCACATTTAAGATACCTACCCCAAAATGCGCATCAAAAGCATTATTTTTAACATTTATAAGGAAACTGCTCCGATAGATGCATTCAACATAGCTGCACATTGGCGATACCTGCCTTAAAAATTGTGCGACTAGTATCAATTATCAATGAAAGTATTACGTTTACTGACCCTACAATTACCTAATTTTACAACCTTTTATTTATTTTGCTCATCTCGCAGAACAACCAAAATGGCTATCAATTTATGTAGTTATATAGATAATTAGCTAACATTCGGTAAAAATTTCATTGCAGTAATTTCTACATGGTAAATGCTCCGCAAATATTTGGTTTCATAGGGATTCGCATACCTTCCTCATTGAAGTAGTAAAGAAAATTCGCTTATGTACCTTTTTCGGTTACGTGCACAAGCTTTTCGTGCAAAGAAGGATGTGCAGCTAAGCAAAATATACTGTAATTACTTACGCGTTGTCGGATAATGCCAATGGATTGCTTCTGCCCCGAAGTTGCTTACGCACAACTCTTTCGTCATTTTCGCTTTCGCTAGAGCTTAAATAAAATAAAAGGCTCGGATCCATTTTAGTTTTGCCGCTTTTCTTTATTTACTTTTCACTTATTTTGACACTTCAATGTCTATTGTGACTTAAAAAAGGAAGAAGAAGAGAAAAATAATCGATAACCAAATAAACAATAACGATTCGTTCGCCTTCGATTGTTATCATCCGATATTGTTCATTCGATTAAACGATCACGTAATTTGTGTTCGTACGATTGCCGACTCGTTCACGTCTGTCACGATTCGACCCCTGGTTTTAGGAAAAGGCACTCGTGTGAAACTGCACTAAACTTAGTATTAGCTCGCTGGAAAGAAGAATTGAGCAGAAATAAATACATAGTTGCTGTCTTCTTAGCCTTAAAGCGCGCATTTGAGACCATAGATCAATAGTTACTTTTAAATAAATTGAGTAATATAGGGATACGGGGCGTTGAGCTAAAATGGTTTCAAAGTCTTATTACGAATCGTTACCAGAGAACACAGATTGGATCGTCGGTATCTGACAAAAGAAGTATAGTGGTTGGTCTACCTCAAGGCTCAGTGCTAGCACCTATATTATTATTATTATTATAATTATTATTAGTGCTAGCACCTATATTATTTAATCATGGTTGTTGTTGTCAATTCTATACACCCATTTGCCTATTTAATTTTTTTAACAAGCCACAATAACATTAACAAATACATAGTTTTGGAAGAGCCTGCCAGAAACTATACAAAAAAGCAAATGGATGTATAGAATTGACAACAACAACCACGCTGTCGAGTTTAAATAGCGGCAAATCAGCTGCACTTGATAGTAGTCGGTTGAATAGGAAAATGAATTAGCAACAAGAGTTTACGGGATGTACATAGCTCAGTAGTTAACGCTTCTGAATTTGAACATCGAATACGCAGGTTCGATCCCTGCTGAAGTCTACAAAAAAAAGAAGTCTGATGAGGAGATGTGTTGATCTCCGAAATAGTGCTATAACTTCTACCGCTTAGACTTTGTTGCTTTTTCAATTTTTCCTAATAAACAATCGTGGTACAAAGCTCAATAAAAATATTAAAAATAAAATGTTAACAAGCCACAATAACATTGACAAATAAACAGCACTTTTGTTATACGATGAAATTTGTTAAAAACATTATTGAAGATAATTTACCAGAATACGTCAGAAAAATGACTTCAATCGAATCAAGCGAATCTGATAAATGTAATCTTTATTACAAGGGTCTTAAATGTTATAATGAATTACCAAATACTGTCAAGCAATGTAAAAACATCAATGAGTTTAAAAGAAAGTTGTTTGAATTTTGTAAAACTATCCCAATATAATGGAATGTATTACTTTATATCTGTTTTCCGTTTACTATTGTTCCGTAATTTCAACTTGTAATTGCCATGTATGAATGCCATTCCAAATGATTTCAT